ACTATTTACTGATGCGTCATTATCAGGGCCTACTGCGCGGTCCTTGCAAAACGACCAGCCCAACGGTACGTAATTTACTCTCCCCCTGCCTGCAACCCCGCCATTAAAGCGTGGATCCGACGTTTGGAACCCGGATAATGGCGGAGCAGGCTGGCTCATTGCCCTCCAACTATTTACTGATGCGTCATTATCAGGGCCTACTGCGCGGTCCTTGCAAAACGACCAGCTCAACGGTACGTAATTTACTCTCCCCCTGCCTGCAACCCCACCATTAAAGCGTGGATCCGACGTTTGGAACCCGGATAATGGCAGAGCAGGCTGGCTCATTGTCCTCCAACTATTTACTGACGCGTCATTATCAGGGCCTACTGCGCGGTCCTTGCAAAACGACCAGCCCAACGGTACGTAATTTACTCTCCCCCTGTCTGCAATCCCGCCATTAAAGCGTGGATCCGACGTTTGGAACCCGGATAATGGCGGAGCAGGCTGGTTTCCTGTGCTACAACAATTTGCTGACGCGTCATTATTGTAGCAGGGTGCATGGAGCGCGTCTCCTTCAGAAAGACCCGGTCCGGTGCAGAATTTTCCCCATGGTCATGCGAGTTAGGCGATCCCATCTATGTAACACGAGAATTCGATCTCGACGCTGCGGTCATGGAAGCAATGGAGGAAGAATCTAAGCGCGAAACTGCCATAGACCAAGATCCTGACAACGCACTGGTGTGCGACGATGATTGACCTGTAAATCTCGTTGACGAACTGACTAAGGCAACCCCCGAAAAGCGGGTTAGAGAGATCACAAAGGAGGATTACCACCAGAATCAGCGTGGAAAACGAAGGAGAAGAGAGATGAGAGAAGCACAGAGGGAAAAGGCAGACGGTGCAAAGCGCATCTCAAAGAAAATTCGAGAGCGGAGCTTGGCTGTGCTTTGTGACCATTCGATCGAAGACGACATAACCGATACCTTAACCGCAGACGCAAACATGTCACAACCTGGCCTGCAGGAACTGCCTACTGGCTTCCCTCTGGACATGAAAACAGACTCGGTAGCTTCCACCGCGTTCATCGGCAAACGCATTCCTCGGAAACAAACAGATGGAAAAGGTCTTACACTACAAGAGGTTCTCGCACAAGAAGGCATGCAGCTGATCGAATGGGATGGAAAGTGAGTACCTTACGAACGTACACTGGACAAGATCCTTCAGCTCATGCATGTTGGCAGGAGTCCCAGACCTCTGGTGGATCGTGATGGACGCGTATTCGGAGCACTCGCTGGATGTCCTCGTGA